TTCTCTCTTTCTCTCGATACCCACGTACATGCATATACATGTACATGTATATAAGTATACAGACATTAGTATACCACGTAATGTATAGCGTAGCCGTTGCTCTCATCGTTGAATTAATAAGTAAACTTACGTAGGTGAACTCGTCTAACGGGTGACTTAAACAACTATCATCATTGAAGCAATATTCGTATTCACTTTGCAGTTATTTCCAATTTTCTATGTAGTTAATAAAATTATAATAATTAGATGCCGCAAGATAACGATTCTCGTAAAATTAGTTAATTAGATCTCGTTAAGGTAGGTAGGTATCATGCAATTACGATCAATGTAGATATAATTAACAGCACGAATTCATTATTTATGTAGAAAAATCATTGCAAATATATCAAATAATACATTGTTATAAAATTTAATCATGAGATGTAAGTATTGTCGGTAGAAACGTAAAATTAGTGAATTTCGAACGTGGCGGTACTCGATTTTTTTCTCTTTCTCTCTCCCTCTCTCTCTCTCTCTCTCTCTTAATTTTGTGTTTTCTCTTAAAAATACATGTCGAACGAATGTGGAAAATTCGACATGTATTCAGACATCTAAAATTCGCGTCTCTAGTATTCCTCATTATTTCAAAATGTCATGTACTCATGCCAATACCAAATGTCTTCCTCTCCGTCTTACGTTTTCGTGTTTAGATATAAAAATGCATGTAATGAGTAATTTCGGATGAACTTAAAAAGTCTGGTCAATATAAAATTTGGTTTTTTAGTAGTCCTAATTTCTAATCCTAAATTCCTATCTTGTCCTACGCGAAGGAAACATGAAAAAAAGAATATCTTCTGAAATAAAAACGGTGGATCAGAAGCTCGCAAGCTTTTAACACGTTTTTATTTTGTTAATTGAGAATCGATTTGTAATGGAATACATGTGTATCTATTAACTGTGATAAAAGGAAGCCAAATAGACAAGAGGTAAAAACACTTCGCGAACGTTGTTACGAATGAGGGACTTTATCAAAAATTCAGATCATTTTAAACAGGCGTAGATACTTTTACTATTATCAATCGGTCCACTAGAGATTTATATATTTTTAAAGATTATTTGAAGAAAAGAAAAAATTCGTATTGAGATTAAACAATTACTAAATTATTAATCTTTCATATTTCTCTCGATGATCGATAATTTTTTGTTGGCCATATAAATTAGATTTAGATATTGGAAATCATATCTTTCATTTATATCAAAATTATCATATAATAATTTACCCGAAAATAAACAAATTAAGGGTTAATCATAAATTGTATTTCTTTCGCCTCTCATTAAACAAAATTAATTATGTTAAGAATAATTTCTAGACTTACTACGAAGTATATCTAAGGAGGTAAGTACTTATATCGTATAGAAAAAAATATTATAGCAGATATTTAATTTAGTAATTTTTATAAAAAGATGAAATACAGTGTTGATGCAAACATTCACGAGTTGTGATTCAGTTGTTCTGTTAACATCTGAAATATAGTATGATAATTTATACGAATATAAACGAATAAATTCTCCTCCTCCAATTTCTAGTTAAAATAAAATAAACTGTATTAAGAATAACTATTAAGTAAGTACTATAAAGTATTTCTAAGGAAGTATATACATAAAGAGATACATTGTATAAAGAAAATACAATAATAGATGTGTACGTGCATTTTTCTTGATTTAGTCTGACGTAATTTAAATTACTCGTAAATATAAATATATCTAATAATTTAAATAAATAAAAAAAATGTAGTATTAATCTAAACTTGCAAAAAATTATATTTGGTTGTCCCTGATAGAATTGAAGTAAAAAGAAACGATCCAATAAATTTCCCGTCTCCATTATTGTGATCATTGACAAGAGCCTTAATTAACGCTCTAACACTGTATTGGGAGTAGAGTTTGTTTTTGGTGCAGCCTCGTTCTACATGCACATGCGTTAAGACCGTAAAGACGCATTGTTCATCAAGGTCCGCGTTGTTCATCGATGCGCGACGTTTAAGAATTACATCGGCGACACAACTGCTATTTTAAGACAGTCGGAGCCTTTGTTACACATTGCATTTGATTATTTCAACGTTCTCAACTTCTTTTTCTCTTTCAATATTAATTTTCTTAATCAATATTTAATTTTTTAAAAAATTATTTTTCTAATCTCAATTTTACTTAATGGATATTATTGTAAAATTATAACACATATTTGTTTAATGGAATGAGACCATATATTATTTTAATAAATTTCGTAAAATGAATTATGATATTCTTCGTAAAAAATTATATTTTTCCTTATTTCCGCGCTTTAATATTTATTTAATAGCTAGTACAATACTTATGTTTCAAAAAATTTCTAAATAATAAATCATGTATTAATAATTTTTCTAAAATCTTCTCTTTAATTATCAACTCATCATATTTTATTTTATTTTTATCGATCTTCTAATATTTTAATTGACATAAATAATTACCTAATATTTTTCATTGACATAGCACTGGCTGTATCGACTACCTACGTTCCTAAACGCAAATCTTATCTTGAGAAAAGATCAGAAGACTTGTGATAAAACGGCAGGTGACAACGATATCAAAAACTTTCAGCATGAAACTCGACATTAGATATCTATTTTCTTCTTCATCTTCGAGCAAATAGATTATTCGATATTTATACATTTTTATTTAGTTATACATCTGATTAACGTTAATTAATCATTTTAATAATTACCTTTTTATATTTTAATTTCAGAAAATTCACAAATAGTGACAGAGAAAAATAATCAATTAGAAGAAAATTTACCTATTTCTGCCAAAACATTATCTATTATTCCTAGAAGTTATAATTTATTAATTAATTAAAACGTTGAATGTTGTGGAAATTTCCAATAATTAGCACGAAATTTTTCTAGAATTTATTTACAACGTAGATATATTAACTTTACTTATGATCGATCGCTGTATTAAAATAAAAAATAAAAAATAACCCCCGATGAAAAAATTACGAAGCATATTAGGTGAACAGTATTGATTTATGCAAAATTAGCCAGCCAATAAACACATTCTCCGCATTCAACCGCTGAAATCTCTGGCATCCGTGATAAAACAATCGAGGACAAAGAATTCGAATGGAAGTAACACATTTCCAACATTATCATGAGTTATACATACCTATGCATTTTGCTGACAAGGGGAAGTTTCAACAGAACTAACATAGGAGTAAGTAAAGATAAATTGTGAGTGGTCAGAAAATGAAGAAGGATAAAGAAAGTGGAAAGAAATCGTGAAACCAAATTGGTGGTTTAAAGAAGTTTGCAAGGTACGACGGAAGGAAAAGAGGGAGTACATTATCCGCATATGATGCACTTTGGTATGTGTGCGTGAATAGCGATGCCGTAGAAGGGCAACGTGAGAGAATGATGTGGTGGTGGTGGTGGTGACGGAGGTACGAAATGGTTAGCATGGGAGCAGTGAAGGAGAGGGGCGAAGAGCGACGAACGCGGCTGCTAGAACTAAAAAGAGTAAGAGAGAAAAGTCGAGACTTTCCGAGCACGAGAAGTAAAGAGAAAAAAGAGAAAGAACCAGAAGGGGAAAAAAGAAGAGTGGGGGTAATAAGGTGGGGAGAGAAAAGATAGTTCCTGCCTAGCGTTAGTGGTTATATGCAGAAAGAGAAAAAGAGAAAGAAAGAAAAACGAGAGAGAGAGAAAGACGCGGCATCGTAGCATTACTCTACTAGCGCTCTTCAGCCAGGATCAAGAATATTTCAATAGCCATCGAGAGTAGTGGTGGTGTGATGTACTTCCCCGCCCCGATACTCTCCCTCTAATCCCCATGCGTATTACGGGAAAGGGGACCGAAGGCCAGCAAGAGAAAGAGAATATGTGCGCGCGCGCGTTTTCCGCCTGCACGTAAGCCGATACGACGCATGCACGTTTATCTATCTCCGTCTCGCTTCAAGCCTCCATGTGCTCTTCCATTTTCGACTAGTGCGTATAATTCAACGCATAGAAAAAAATATATTATATATATATATATATATATATATATATATATATATAACATATACATACATACATACATACATACATACATACATACATACATACATACATACATACATACATACATACATACATCATACATACATACATCATACATACATACATCATACATACATACATACATACATCATACATACATACATACATACATCATACATACATACAACATACATACATACATACATACATACATACTCATCATACATTCAACACCACGTGTGTATCGGAATGGTGACGAACACGAGAGAAGAGAAGCGACCGGTAGCGCAATGCTATACGACTTTCTTGCACGCGCAAGGGGAATAAAGAACCGTAAGAGAAGAGTGTGATGTGGAGAGAGAGAGAGAGAGAGAGAGAGAGAGAGAGAGAGAGAGAGAGAGAGAGAGAGAGAGAGAGAGAGAGAGAGAGAGAGAGAGAGAGAGAGAGAGAGAGAGAGAGAGAGCAGGCAGAGAGAGAGATGGATGGAGTGAGAATAGAGAAGAGGGGAGATCGAAGCAGGATGCCGGTAAGAAGAGGAGGAGGAAGTAGATGAGGAAGAGTACGAAGTAGTGGGAGTAAAGGCGCGCGAGAGAACCAGCGAGCTGACTAAATACGATCGTCCGATCGTCCTTCTTGTACCCGCCCTCTCGGGCTTACGTGGGGAAACCTAGTGGGCCGTACGTCGACGGTGATTGGTCAACGGTCGTTAGTCGACTCATGGTGTCGGTGGCGCCTCCCAAGATCAACCAATTGCGTATAGTTCTCCTACTTCTTTTTATCTCGCTGTATTTACGTCGAAGGACGAAGCATATTCCTCCCTCCGCGCTTTCAGCACGTTCACGTCATGCAACTACTACTAAATATCATATTTCCATCTCTTTCGCACTCTACCCCCTCCATCAAACCAAATACACGTATTTGCAGTGTGCGCGTGTATCCGGTTTGTCTATATGGTACGAATACAGGAGAGGAAAGAGGACATTTTCGTTTCGGGATCCGTGTAAGTTGAACGCGTTTTCTGCGGAGAGAGGATCGTCTCCCGCTCGTTAACGTATGTAGTTTCTCTCTCTGTCTTTCTCTCCCCTCCCTTTCTCTCTGCGTGTGGTTTCTCGTCGCGTATAGTAAAGAACGTCGCTTTCGCCGAAAGAGTTCGTATCGTACCGTGCTTGCTGCGTGTTTCTTTCGTCTTATATTTTCTTCGTTTCATCCTTGTGTGTGACGCATTTATATAAGGTTTACCTTCGAACCTCAAAAAGAGGAAGGAAGGGAGGATTTTACATTTTCCCGTAGAAGCGCGCGTGCGTGTGTATATTGCCAACGTTGTGACTGTGTATCTCTCTTTCTCTTCCCCTACCTCTTCTTCTTTATCTATCTCTCTCTCTCTCTTTGTAGATTATGTACGTGTGCGTAGTATGTGACAGAACGTCGTAAAAGACGCGCGACGTTGTCGGATTGTCGAGAACTCTTCGAAACAGGAGAGAGAGAAAGAAAGAGCGAGGGAGAGAGCGAGAGAGAGAGAGAGAGAGGACGACGTATTGCACTGTCGTCTGTATTGTAATTTTTGTTACACGACAGATAAGAAAGTTAGCCGATCGATCGTTGAGGAAGAGCTAGAAGAGGTGGAGGAGGAAGAAGAGACGAAAAAAAACGAGGAAATACGCTTCCTACCGATCAATTTGTTAGAAAAATTGAGAGATCACGAGAAAGGCGCTTATAGAGACGCTTCGATTTTACCGGTGGTGCGCCAGTGACATTTGGTACGGTGTTATCGACGAAACGGACGTGGCAACGTTGCATCGAACACTCGCACATCACGAGCACGCACACATATACAGAAAGCAGAAGGGGACTCGGAGCTGTCGAGCTGGCTGGCTGGCTAGCAGGCAGACAGACAGGCAAGCGAGCGAACGAACGAGCGATAGAACGAGCAAGAGGCTTTCTTGTTTCGAGGACGGTGCTTCTGCTCACGCTGTCTTTCTTTTCTTTCTACCTCCATTGCTCTTGCTTTTCTCTTCTTTTTCCTCTCCCCATCGTGATCGTTCAACCGTGCGCGCACGCTCTGTCCTTTTTCTTTCTACTGTTCTTCCTCTCTCTCTCTTTCTAACCCCACCACGTCTTACTGTCTCCTCTTTTCCTCCTAATTCTCTCTCTCTTTCTCTCTTACGCGGCATCTTTTACGCATCACTACCGTTCAGAACTTCTTCCTCCCTTTCCTTTACTTCAGGTTGTCTCTCTCTCTCTCTCTCTCTCACTCACTCACTCTCTCTTTCCCCTACCCGTAACCAAAAGCGACTCGGGCGAGTCCATTACGCTTTTGAGGGGAGTTCGGTAGACTTCGGCTCTAGTCGGCCTCGATCCGCAGAATGTGTTAGACGGTCCAAGTTGGACGCTCCAGTTTTCCGCATTCATACTCGCCATTCTGTGATCACGGATATTGTCGAACTATCTTTGATCCATTGTTCGATTATCCATCGATCGACCAATCTCCGATAGACACTCAATTTTCCTGATCCGTTTGAGACGCATTCGATCAGCGTATATCCATGCGACGGCCATGTTTGGTGTTTACGAGGCGAGGGAAAATTGCTGACGTCACGAACCCCGATCTCGCCCGAAGGGAGCAGCAGCAGCAGCAGTAGTAGCGGCGGCGGCGCGACAACCGCGGCAGCGGTGGCGACAGCGCCAGTAACAGTAACAGATTACGAATGAAACAAGTAATAACGACATCGACAACGGGAGAAAGAGCAAGACGAAACATACAAGTACTGGAATAAAAACGTTTTTACCGTTCGAATCCAGGATAAATAACGTGAGTCTTCAGCCAGCAGTTGCGAGAGATAGTGAAAGGAGATTCGGTGCACGGAATAACGAAAGTTGTTACGTCAATTAAGAAAAAGAAAAACAGAACTAAAGACCAAAATAATTTTATACCGAACTATACAAGTGGATCATTAAAGTGACACAAGTAACTCATCAAAAAGGCACGATTTACCGCGTTAAATTCGCTTCTCGATGAGACGTGCGCGTAGGTCATCCTCGCTCGTCTCCGCCGGTCTTACCGGAACTATCGGACATTTCGAAAAACATTGGTCGTTGTGGCAGCACGCCGTTGTATTAGCGAGCCAACCGTGAACTGTCGTTCGGTCGCCATCACCATTGCTGCCGCTGCCACCACCACCACCACCACCGCCACCGCCACCGCCACCGCCATCGCCATCGCCATCGCCATTACCACCGCCACTACCATTACCATACCGCTCTCTTAGTAGCCGTGATACACACGACCAGTGCGAAAAACATTGTGCAATGCTGAATAGTGCCCTCGTAGTAATCGCGGTTATACACCGAACGGAACGCGTCGATACAAACCACTTCTTACATACGACAATCGACCGTCGTGAAGAAAAATGTTTCTAACGTATGAAATGTTTTCGGAACCATTTTAAAATCTGTTTTCTTTAATTGTTCCCGTATTGAAGCGCATTTATTTTAATCGTCTCAATTGCAGTTTTTTCATCTACTACATTTGATCCCCAGGATATCCTTATGACTGTGAAAGAAATAAATTTGGTGCATCTCGATGTCGCTATCATCCATATTTTCCTCTTTACCGTTGTCATTGTCGTCGAGTATTACGTACAACGGTAGCGAGAAATCTCTACGAACGATGATGATGATTTATTCGTTACGCGCGTGAAACTTCTCTGCGCGTTACGTGTTTTCTCTTTTTCGTGCACACGTTCGTCCGTGTGTGTCAGTGTGAATACGTCTGTTTTTCTGGTGCGTGATTCTATGGTACACAGGTTCCGCTGCATACAATCTGTGTGTTTGCAGCGACACCATTTTTTTAACGTATTAGTGTCACTGGTGCGTATGATCGGCGATCGTGGACGGTGTACAAAACCGTCGTCAAAGTGCATCGCCTCTCCGTTGAGGACGAAGACGACGACACAGTGACCACGAACAGTACATAGGTGTCATGGATCTCGGTGACAGGGTTTACGCCGCCGAGCGGATCACGAAGAAGAGGGAAAGGCGGGTAAGTGAAGTGTTGCGCGCTTGCCGGATAGCTTTCGTTATTCCTTGCTAGAGGACGCCACTCGATGGATTTCGCGCTCGCACGCGACGTACACGTCATTTTTTCTTTTCTTTTCTTTTCTTTTCTTTTCTTTTCTTTTCTTTTCTTTTCTTTTCTTTTCTTTTCTTTTCTTTTCTTTTCTTTTCTTTTCTTTTCTTTTCTTTTCTTTTCTTTCTCCGTCTTTTTCCCTCGTTAACATTCCTTCCGACGTCTCGTGCCTCCTCTCTTCGGATCCTCCACTCTCCTCTTCATTCGTTTTCTTTGCCTCTTTTCATTTTTTTCTATATCTTTTCGTCGTCAATAATCTTATGTCCGCATCGTCGTAGCCTAGCCTCCTTCCAAATTACATGGTCGTCGTATGAACAAACTTTTTTTTTCTTTTTTTTTTTTTTTTCATCTTGTCGCAATGAAAACTTTTCGAATGTTGAAGGAAAAAAAAAATGAAGCACCTAATTCATCTAATTGAAAAGTTTATAAGATTCGTTTAATTTTCGATTGGTTGATTCTTTACAATGTATCGATGCGTACGAACCGTAAAGAACTGTAAATTTTGTTAATGTCGAATTTTATTATTTATCATGAATATTGCTTATCCAGAATTTTATAATCAACGGCTCGTGTTTTTCATTACTCTCGTCCGAATCGATTACCATAATCGATATACTTATTTCTTATGTTTTAGGGAAAGGTGGAATATTTTGTTAAATGGAAAGGATGGAGTAAAAAGTAAGTGGATCGTGAACGTCATAAAAGAAATTTTCTGAAGAGTTCATTTTTATTGTTATATTAATTTTGTCATACACTGTCCGTAGATATAATACATGGGAACCAGAGGAAAATATTTTAGACGTGAGGCTGATCGAATTGTACGAGGAGAGTTTAAAAAGCGGAGATGTATCTACGAGAAGGCCAAGGCGAAGGGATACAAGATACAATGTAAGAATTTTTATTTTTTGTTGTCAAATCGTTAGATAAAACGATTTTTTTTTCTTTACGATTAGATTTAATTATCAAGTATAATTTTTCGCGGGAAGTAGTAATTTTTGTTATGTCTCTCCTCATAAAGGAGCAAGTATTGGCCAATCTCGTGGTTGTCGAAGAACCTGGTGGAGACGAAAGAGTAGGAGAAGATAGTCAGGACGAGTCAACGACGGGTAGCACATCTGCACCGCATTTGAATCATGTCACTCCCGATGAGGACACGTTACCCAGTTCGTTAGATGGACAAGAATCTCCTACACCACCTGAGTTATTGGCATCAACGTTCAGTGTTGACTCGGACAGCTCGAACAGTAGCGTTGATATAACCTTACTTCCAAGGAGAGAACCAGCTGGTACCAAGAGAAAAGCTGAGGTTCTCAGTAAGGAGTCTGGAAAAATTGGCGTTACAATTACTACGAGCAGTCCAAGCAGTGGCAGTAGTAGTAGTCCGCCACCGAATAAAATACCACGTTTATTGCCATTAAAAAGCAATTCACCGTCGTCTTATCATGTAAGGATTCTTATGTCAAAAATTTGCAAAACTTCGGATTCTTCCAAATTTTATATTTAACAAATTTAAATTCTAATTATGGCATATTTCTCCATGATAAAGAAAGAAAAGAAGAATACTTCTTTTTTTTTTTTTTTTTTTTTTTTTTTAAAGCGAGATCATTGTTATGCATCGTCTCTTTTTAGGGACACAAAGTAAACGGTAGAAGACCATCATCCTCGAGCGTGAAATCCACACCCGAAGAGCCATTACCAGCAGTGCCAACGACATTGGCCCCGCCGGTACAAGACAAGAAACGACCGGAAGCAGACGTACCTCATGGTCCACCACCCTCTTTACCTCGTACTCCATCAACCGCTTCGCTAACTCCTCAAGTGGATACACCTCTGGATCAACCAGTGAAAAAGAGGCATTTACCCGAACAAAAACAAGAAAAGACTAGCAATTCCACGACAGTAGATGCGAACGGTCACAAATCACCCAGTCCAACGGATTCCTACACGAATAACAATAGGTTAACCGCAATAGTCAATGGCCATCATAGTCACGATAATAATATTAATAATAACAATAACAACAACAACAGTAATAATAATAATAAGAATAATGCGACGAGCATCAAACAAACTGAAATTACGAGGTCCGAGATGTACGTTCCTTTGTCGAGTCCCGGTACGGAGTATTGGCATGCGAGAAATCCGGTTGCCGATCAAGTCTTTATAACGGACGTCACCGTGAATCTTAAAACGGTTACCATTAGAGAGTGTAAGACGGAAAAGGGATTTTTTCGCGAGAGAGATCCCAAAAGCGACATTTATTAACCCTTTCTATGAAAAAAAAAGGAAGAAACAGATACTTCCTTTGACTTGTATTAAATCGCTGTAAATACATAAATTATTTTCACACATCGATTATTATGTGTCTGCGTAAATCGTTATCGACCTCATCGTCGTCGAGCGATTAAAAAAAAAACTTACTTTTTAACGATTTAATTGTATAAACTCACGGTTGCGTTAAGAGACGTTTAATAATAGAAATTAATAAATCGAGAGACGTCGTAATTTATGCTTTCTCTTGCTTCTTCGTACGCTGTAACAATCACGAAAACGGTTTTTGTAATTACGTTATTGTACATTGAATTTTTCTTTTTTTTTATTTTCTTTTAATTCTGGCAGAAACATTAGCCATTATAGAAAGTATGTGTGTGAGAGTATGTGTTAGCATGTCCGTGAAATTGCAGTACGATGGTAAATAATAATAAATATTCGTGCAACACCGTTATCGATAAAAAAGGGAAAAATAAAAACGACATTGTGATCGCACGACAAATTTGCAAAGAGTAAAAACATTAATGAAATGATGCGCACCGTCGAGTTATTATGATACAATACGCACTACAGTGCATGTTTTGAAACGCTTTATAGAATTTAGCTGCTCTAAAAAAAGAGAGAGAAAAAACATAAGTATAATGTGCGTTAAATGATACACAATTGTGTATAATTAATCGTGATTAGTTTTTATTTGCGTTTAGAAATGGATTTTCTATATTTGTTTTTCTTTTTTTTTTTTTCTTAAAGTACGCGCAATTAAACTGATTTATATCTTACGAATACGAAAAATTTTCTTTTTTGTCTTTCTTATTTTTTTTTCTTTTTTAAAATTTCTTTTTGGTAAAACGTGTTCTTCGAAGGAAATAAATTTTATATCGTACGTTCTCGTCTATTTCTCATTTGCGTTACATTGTATTAGTTGATTCGCGTTTTGTATTTTTTAAACGGACATATTGCAGATGCACTTAGTCAAAAAAATACATAAATCTGGGATCTGTTACGTTAACATAATAAGACTATATATTCTTAGGGCAGATTCCATCGTAAAATTAGATTAAACGCTACCGTGAGATCCGTGCTTTTCCTTTATTTTTCTTAAATCGGTGAAGTTAGAACTGAAAATTCAGTGCAATGTAAAAAGCAGCAACTAAATATACATCGACACGCGTTATTTTGTTCGTCAAACGTACTATACGACGGATGTATATTTTGAATGTAATAGTATAGTAGCGAGTAACATGCGTAGAATACGCAGGCAACTGTGTCGATGAGGATCAGTCACACACTCGTGTGCATTGCTATATTCAAAATATATGTTCACTGTAACGAACATTTGATGGATAGCGAAATTCTGTACGTCACTTGCTGCTCATCTGCATTGGACTTGGAAGTTTAATAAGTTTATTATAACAGCCGATGCATTTGTTTTAATGATAAAAGTTTCTTGTTTTGAATTCATTCGAAGGAAACATATAATTTTACGTTTAGGCGCTTATTTGTATTGAAAAATATAATATATATATATATATATATATATATATATATATATATATATATATATATATATATATATATTATAAACAAGAAAAAAGAAAAAAATTTTCGAGATTACAACAGTTTCTAAAATATGCAATTTGATTTGTAAATGAGAATCGCGAATATTTTATCAAATAGATGTTCCTACTTCGAACAAATTAAAGTTTTAAATATCCGTTGTCGTTGAAACTACTCGTATTAAAAGAAGGGAGGGGGATCAAAAGTGGATTCGCGCCATTTTTACACGTATCGATTATAAATATTGCATCACGACTACTAAAAATTTTACATTCGTAATATAGCGTTGTGGTCATGTGCACGATGATATTCTCGTTGAAGAAAGATTTGTCGCTCGTCGATAATTTGTCCTTTTCCTTTTTTTTTTTCTTTCCTTGCCTTTTCTATTATTTGTTTGTCTTTTTCTTCGCGTAAAACTTGACGCGTACAGATGTAAAATTAAAAATTATCGTTACTCGCAGCTTAAGGCAAAACACGCCCAAAAATATTGACAGAATAAATGCTCTCGCGTTACCGAACGTAATCGCTTATACATATAGCTACGTAAAGGTTCGTACGTCCTTCGTATTCGGAGATAATTGTGTATAGATAAGTTCAATTTTCCAGCAATTTAAATTGCGATGGTGAAATGATTACAAGGTAAGAAAAGAAAATGAAAAGAAAAACCGGAAAAATTGTTGTATAATCTTAAAATACTGTATATTGAAGAGATATCATGTAAAAATTGTAAATATCAAATGAAAAAAAAAAGAAAAAAAAATAATCCGCGCTCTGAATTATAAATCTTTTAGACGATAAAAATTGTAAATAGCGAAAAGGAAAAAGAAATCAGCAAGGAGAAAACCCCATTAAATCTTTATGCATAAAAAGTGCAACTGCAGGTCTAGCAAAAACTCCTGTCTAGATTTAGAATTTTCAAATAGACTGTGCACGTACCTTCGATATTGTTTGTGTACTTATAAACATTCAAACTACTTATAAAGTAAGCATGAGAAAAAATAAATAACGCAGTGGTTACGCAGGTATGTACAATATGTGAACCCCAGTAGTAGTACCAAATTCAGCAGTAATTTTAGTTCTGTCTGGTACAGATTCCTTATATTTCAATAAAATCTTTACTCGAAGATATAAGCCAATAGTCGTTCGACCTTCTAAAACGGATCCATTGTATTAACGTTCCATTTATAATTCCAGATTTCTCTCCATTATTATAATAGATGGATTATAATTAGGTATTCCATAAATTATACCGCTTAATTTGTAAATTGCATTCGTTTTAAACAATTCAATACATAATTCAGTCTTTAACAAAGAGCCCGCTTTGATTTTATTTCTTCGTAATCATACTTAATAATATCTAATTATTATCAAATCCCTTTTTGTAGTGTTACAATACAGTAGTTACCGTACAGTATCAAAACTTCAATCGTATTGCGTGTGCATAGATTTTTTTACTTATATAATTTCATTTTATTATTAATATAATTATACGGTAAGTAAAAATGCTAATGCGATTCTATTTATTGTAGATAATCGACGTATTTAGTGAACAATAATCATATCACATTCAGTGTATTAGGAAGAGATAGTTCGTAACATTATCGACACATTGTACTGTTTTACCAACTCTGCTCATTGCAGATGATACAATCGTTTAGTAATGTTTTTCTTATATTGTATTGAAAAAAAAGATTTCATTCAAATCTTACAAAGTTTGACGTAATACTAAATGAAATAAGTTTACAATAATCAAGATATGTTTATTCATAAACTATGTTACGTAGGAATATTCGAAAACAATTTTCCATTCTACTTTACCCATGATTATTACCGACGTTACCAATATGCGATACAAAAAATCATGTTTCTTTGCTTCACGATATTTAAAATTATTACTAAAAGTAATGTTAATTTTTCGAATAATATATGTACTTAAAAAACAAGAAAATTAATAGTATGAAATTAATCATTAACGATACAACAATAATACTTCGATTTCAATCAGATCTAATCTACCAAAAATTGTTTACAAATATTCACATAAAAAGTATATCATTTTGTTACCAATTTATTCATATGTATAAATATGTTTGGTATTTACAGATATATTATATTTTTTATATACAGAAGTGTATAATAAATTAATAATTTTTTACGCCAATTATAAAAATTTACAAATTGTATAATTTTTTTCAAATCGTGATATATAATAATGATGAATGAAATAATCGATAAAATGTGATAATTTGGAGGGAAAAATTACAAAAAACTATATCAAAAAAATGTAGTTGCGTTCCTAAGGCATGCGCCATTTCTACGCACGGACCATTGACCGTCATTCGTCAGACCATACGCTCCGCCCATATGAGACCGACCATACTTGCCCGAAGCACATTTTAATGTGCCGCCTTTCCTATCGCTTTACGTATCTCACGCACACACTAATCGTAAATAACTTTTTCGTCTTTTTATCAATTCTCGTCTTATGCAGAAAATACACGCAAAAATTGTCTTACTCGTCTGAAAGATTCTAATTTAAATAATTCAGTAAATTATTTGTCAATCCTAACAACACAAATCACTATTTTTCGTTTAACTTAATTAATAATCTCGATCGTTATAATAAAATTGTTTTTCTTTTTTTTTAGATCAATCGATCTACCATTTATATCGAGTTTAGTTGAATATTCAATCAAAGTAAACATATCTACTATCATATGAGTTAATGCGAAATAAAAAAAATATCGATGATTTATTTTAAATTCTCGTTTTTTCGACAAAAAAGCCAATCTACAGAGTTCAATATTTTTCTATAGCACTTATTATAAAATACAAATGTATACTTTTCTTTGACGTATCATAGTTTACCCATTTCGAAAGTGTCGTTGACAATACGTTTCGTTTCGCTCGATAAGACGTTAGAGAAGGAGGAAAGTGTAACGTAATGTTCTTCATGCAGATACCAACGTAAGTATGAGAACGTTTGTTCGTATTCGATTAAATGTTCGGATAATATTGACTTGAGACTGGAATTTAACGAAGTAATTTCTTTTTCTTTTTATATTCAATTGTTTAAACACATTTATTCTCACCGATTAACTTGCCAATCTTTTTTACGAATCATTTTTGGTATCGGAATTGGAATACCCGAAGGTGGTAAAGTTTGGAACGCTATCTCCGTCAATAAATTACGACTCAAATTACTTATGAAATTCATGCCAACATTATTTTCGCCAAAAACGTCCTTGGAGTTCATTTGCTGTCGCGGCGTCAATTTATCTGTAATAGATAAGCGGTAAAAAAGAAGAGGATATCGGTAATGAAAGAAGGTTGAAGTGAAATTTGCCAAAGAATTTTTCCACACTGTACATTGTACATACAGTGTAATACTTTGTCTTTTTTCTTTTCTTTTTCCTATCCGAAATAATTTACATCTGAAGACTGATATAAAACAAAAGTATATGTAATGGAAGAAAGATGATATCGTAATTACATTAATGATGTAATTTAAAAACTTATACGATAGTTTTTGACGATGAGAGAATGACATCTATAAACAAATCTTATGATACATTAATATTTTATATGCTTGGCATACTGCAGTTAAAGGCTGAACTTAATCCCACCACTGTAAAAAGGTAAAAATAGAAAAAGAGTCGCATAATAATTAATCTAAAATAAAAATTGTTATTTTATGTATATCAGAAAACAAAACGTAAAACTTACGATAATCTGCATCTTTATGCTGGACCGTGTTATGTAAAGTCAATGCAAGATATGTATGGTATTTTATATAACTGTTTTCCATTAAACTTAACTCTGTTACAGTATGTAATAGTTTCTTATAGTCCCAACAGCCTCGGATATGAACACACATTTCAACTAACTGTATGTAAGTATCTGTGTTAGTATGTAATATATAATACAAATTTATATATGTATATAAGTGTATACATAGGGTGGTCGTTATTTGGTTCCTTCAGAAATTTTGATAAGTGCACAAGTTCAACTTAACTCGAAATAAATAAAAATAGTCATTTTCAAATTTTAAACCTTTGTCTTAATATTAAAGTGTACCAAAGAATGCATACTTTTTTATATTTTAATAAAATAGAGATTTTAAATATTTGTAAGTATCATTTAATTAAACAACGAAAGAAAACATAAAAATTTAACTCTTGTGTGGAAAAATCTCATGTATATTAAAAGTACTTTTTTTACCGAATATTCTTTTTCACAAAATAATATTTTATATCGATAAATATTGACGAATAAAAACGAAAAAAATTTGATTCCTATACAAATCTCATATGTATTCAGGATATTTTGTCTGTTGAATATTATTCAAAATCCTTTCATAACTATTTCTTTAGTAGAGCCAGGAAAATGTTTATAATACAGTAAAATATAAGAATATTCAACAAAAAAGTACTTTTAATACATGTGAGATTTTTGTAGAAGTTAAATTCTTGTTTTCTTTAGTTGTTTTAATAAACTATATCTAAAATTATTTAAAATCTCTAAATATAAAAAAGTATATACCCTTTGGCACACTTTAATATTAAAATAAAGATATAAAATTTGAAGATGATTTTTTATTTATTTTGAACTGAATGTTGAGATTGCATCATCAGATTCAAAATAATGACCATCTTAATATACATACATTGTTAACAGTCGTCATTAGATCTTCAAATTCTTCCGTTAACAAACAATGCTTGTGAACTTTATCTAAATATTCTCTGTGGACTGAAATAGAAAAAAAATAATGTTACACGATAGAAAGTTGTAGATGTAACATACAGTAGATTTTTTTTTAAATGTATACCAGATATAACTCTATCGAGACTATCAGCTTGAGTTAAAGATTGATCGAACATGAATCCTAAACTTTGCAATACTTGTCCTGATAGATAAGCATGAATCGATCCTATAGCATGCAATAACCAAAAACGTAAACTCTCAAGACGTCTTATTTGGAAGTGTTCGATATTGTTTTTAGCATGTAGTGACTTTAAACCTTCCAGATCTAAAAGCAAAGAAGTTAAATTTATATGTATTTTTTGTAAATATAAATTTAATTATGATCAGAAATGTAATATTTTACCCACGAATTTCAAATTATTTAACGTCCATAAGGCCCACTTTAATTTCAATTGAAATCGAAATATTTCGTTATACTTAATTAAAATGTCTTCATTTAAGATAATATTTATGGGCCATCCTGTTGCATAATACAGTGTTATACTATCTACAGCCTGTACCACTTGATGCGTACTAACATCTTTTACTATAATAGACCAATGTGAACTAGAATCTGGCCATTGTTGAGAAAGTATTTCTTCTAATATGCATGATAAAAAATATGAATTATTCCACATTTGATTGGTTTCTATCTGTAAAAAGCATGCTATTAATTTAGATATTTCGTATCATGTTATAACAATGATTGATAAATAAATAAAATTCTACTGTACCTCATGAAATAATATCTGATAAAATTTATTCATAATATGGCCAGCCTCCATCATATAAACGGATCTCATTAATCTTAAATGTGCTTCTAATTTATATTCCTGCATCATTATATTTTTTACTAACTTAGTTGCACTACTGTAGCGTAAATCTAAAATTTCAGACAATACTTTTTCTAAAATTTTCTTTAATGGCAACGCATGTTCTGCAACTTTCTGTAATCTATAATCACATATATTTTTATTATATAGATTGAATAAATATAAAAATTTGATAATACAGTACCTATTAAACAATTTATTTCTACGTTTATTACAAGAGTTAGCAGATATACACTTGCTACCATCTACTATATCTTGTCCATATAAAGTTGGTGGTATATAATCTTTAAAGGCTTTCATTAAAAACGGATTATTCATTGTTGATAATTGTTGTATTATATTCTTTTCTAAGTCTTCATCATACTCTGAAATAAACGAAATTCCATCTACTTCTGATGGTGAAATATCAATTAATTCTTCTGATTGAGTTGTATATTTGCATATTTCAGACAATAATAAGGTATAAAATTCATCCTTTAGAGAAATTCTCTCTTCTGAAAGAAAACGATTATATTTATGAAATATAAAAATAAAATAGATTAATTACTGCAAGTGAACATACCATCAGATTTCATTTTTTGATTCCACATTTCCGTGATACGATTTAACGAGACAAGTAAGTCAATACTGTGTCCAATATGTTGTACCTTGCTAATTAGTAAATGCATAATATTATCTTTTAAACAAATATCATCCAAAGGTCTTGTCAGAAATTTTACACACTGGTCTTTATTTTTTGCAACTTTTTCATCTGAAATTCTAATATGTATATGTGTATATATATGTGTATGTGTGTGTAAGTAATTTTTATTAAATATCTGGCAACTATTTTAATATCTTTTACTTTTCTATTATAAATTCGTCTCTCCAATCTTCTAAACGTCCTTCACCTAATAATGTATCAATAATATTCAAATATACAGGAATAGTAGACAGATATAAATTAATACATATATTTGTCTTTTCTTGACAGTGAGAATTTGTTATTTCCAATAGCAAATTTGAAAGTAATTTGGAAGCACAATTCCAATTAGATGATAATTTCCAGTTGGATACAGATATTTTATGAACTTGGTGCAATATTTTTATTCTTTTTAAAGGCTTTTTTAGACGGGCTAATAAAGACAAAAGCGTTTGGCTACTAGCTGCAAAGATGACAGTAATTAATAAATGTAAATATAATACATAACATTACTTATACCTTGTGCTGTAATATCTTTCTCTATGTTTATAATCTCCATTCTAAAACTTAAGAGTTTTTCTTTGATCGCAGCATTATATGCTTCATATATAAATGGTGGTTTTTTATATCCTATGTAACTTATATCTGTGCTCAATAATTCTTTGTCGAATTGTTCTATATCGTGTATCATAGATAAATATTCACAAAATGGAGATAACATATTTTGAAAAGCAACCTGTTAGAATAATTTATAAAAATAATTGTATTTATATTGCCATCTAATTTCTTGAACACTTACAGTAGTTAAACTTGGTATAGATACATTAGGACGAATGTGAAATAAAAATTCATTTTCTTGCTTAAATATAGTCATCTGTGTCTGAACATGGAACATCCACAATATTTCTTTACACACTTGGTATTCATTAAGTAGAATAACATCAGATAAATCCTTATAAACTGTTTCATGCCTGTTGAATACATTAGATTACTTGGAAATATTGCATTACATAACATGCTAAGGTCTGCAAAGAAATTACCAAATTTGACAAAAATGTGCATCAGGATATTTGCTGTTAACAGGATATTTATAAATTATCGATTCGTTCCACCATGTATTTTGGACATTTGACATCAACCATTTTCTTGATTCAACTTCTTCTATTAATGACTGCATTACTATATCAGACCCATATTTAGCATCACCTATTGATTCTGCAGACAATATACCATCTACAGTTGTCAGAGTTGTTTCAAAGGGAACACAAGAAAGATTTGGTACTTCTGCATCGTCTGACCACTCCTACATACAGGTAAATCTATGAATTAAGATATCCAAGACAAATGTCTACTATATTAAACGCTTACATCGCTACTTTCGTCATTGTTAAAATCACAAAAGAAATCTTCTTCTCCTTCTTTCAAATAATGTGCCCAATCGATCTCTTGAATAGCATCTTTTTCACTTGCAATAGTGACATTCGAATTAAATTCTCCTTGATAGGATTTTAAATTATTCAAATCTGCTTTGTCGATATCAGATGATAAATCTAATAACAAAGCCAGCAAAGACCATTGTAAGTCATACTGCGGATGATGGTCGAAATCAAAACTAGTTAGAAAGAAATCAACAAGTTCTTGAAACTTTTTAGCCTCTTTAAATTTCCCATATATGGATAATTTGGTAATAATATTGTTAATAGATTGTTTCGTTGCATGACTGTTAACCGAAAGATATTGATGATGTTTAATGTTGGAAACAGCAAAACGTTCGCAAATTTGAAATCCTTCTTCATTTTCCTATAATTGGAAAAGAATAAAAGAAATTTATATTGACGAGGAACAATTTTGGAGTTATTTAAAAAAAAGTCTAGTATAATAAAAATCATAAAATCTAATATAACCTACTTCGAAATCAGTTATCACCGTAATCAAAAGTTTTATATCACTTTGTATATCCTTCAAGATTTTTGTTCCCATTATTTACGATTGTCGCATTTAAATGGATTAATTATTCCCTCATTAAAGAGAAATAAACAGAGCATTGCAAGTAAACAAGCCTTTATGGTCATGTGGCGCTGACGTCGTCATTCAGACATTTTGGCGGTAAATATTATTTGTATCACGCATAAAAGTAATAAAGTCAGATGTTTACTTCTCTAATCTAACTTAATTTTAATATAAGTAACTGTCTGTGTATCTTAGTAACTTTTAATATATTAGCTTCAAATGTATTTTTTTTGGCAATACTCTTTTATTTAAATACATAGTAATATATTAGTTTATATATAAATAAATGTACATAATTAAAATTGTATGTATGAGATAAAAAAGGAAAATATAGTGATAAGAATATATAAATTCATGAAATATAATGCCAATATAATTTATTACTTATCTATCAGATATAAATAAATTATACTAATATGAAGTTCAATTAATGAAATAATGATTTATGATTTCTAACAGTAAAAATGGTAATATATGTTAAATTAATATATTTAAAAATATTTATTATTAACTCTAAATAAGACTATCACGGATCTTTCAAAGACAATGGTATATGTATTTCAATTATAGTATACAATGTAATTTAACTTTAATGTAGCTACGAAAAGCTACAAATATAACGTAGAACATAATACTTTAAAAACGAGACAATTATCTTAAACATGTATATAAAAATCATGCAATACAAAATATTATCAAGATTCTAAGATTACACTGTATACTTGACGCAAATTGTATAGTATTTTCAGATTTAAATCTTGCGTACTTGCTGCTATTTATTTAATAAAGATAATTCTTACATATACATGTATGCATATATGTATATATATGCATATGTATTTCTACACACACGCACGTGCACACACAACATACACATAAAAGAGCATGGAAAGTAAAGAAAGTAATGTGTAATAAAATGCAATAACATCATCTATGAAAAAAAAAGAAAATATTAATACACACACAAATACACATACATACACACGCGCGCGACATCGAAAAAGAAAAAAGAAAAAAATGAAGAAATATTAGAAAATGTAAATATTTTATCTAAATATTTCAGGATATAACTATTTTAAACACTATCTTTGTACGTTAAGGTGATCTTGATAAGAAAAATAATAAATAAGAATAACAGAGAAGAATTAAAAAAATAATTATTTAAAGTAGATACGCGAAAAAAGAAAGTTTTGCACTTTTTAGTTAATCATTCACAAGGAAACATTTACTTCTTCTATCGTAGAAATAAGATTATCAAGTCCAAATAGAAAGCCTTCTTCGTGATTGCCCTGCTCCCATGGATGTCTATGTGTCACTTTAAGGCCATCTGGCAGTTCGCAAGTTTTTGCAAAATCTATTAACCAAACTCCAACTTTTTCGTTATCATAAATCATAAAGATACTGCTACCGATGATCTAAAAGATAAACAATGTTAATTTACTTATCAATTATAATTCAACGTATGGTATACGTGATTAAATACATACTTCATGAGTTTGAAAATATTTAGATTTTTCGATTTTCGTTCTTAAATTCTTAAGACGAATCAGAAGATTTTTACGAGTTTCCTCTTTCTTTCCAAGAAACATTTTCATTGTACCTAACACCTCTTTATGCGATTTAACTTTTTTCAGATCTGTGATGGGCGGTACCCCAGGTAATTTCATAGCTTCAATTCTGAATCCATGACTACATGTCGAACTTTGTTGTTCACGAAATTGCATATATCGTAATTTGGTTACAGCACGTTGTTCGTGTTCCTGTTTTGTAGGTGCATTCAGATCAACAGCAATCATCTTTTGGTATAGATCCGGTCTCGCCATAGTCTTTGAAACTTCCGATTCTAAAAACGTTCGTGTCCCCATTTTAATGTCCATCACGTGAGGATCGTTAAAACCAAATAGTAAATCCTGTAACTCGATAAATGTATCTCCTTTGTACTCGACCTCCCTGTAATACCTAAATAATGCAATAATACTGATTATTGATTTGTTCACAAAAATAATAATGTTAATTTAATTAACAAATTTCGGACATCATAATGATTTTACTGTAATTGTAAGCAACTTAAACCTACATATTGCTACCATTCTTTTTATTCGCATTCAATAACTAAGGCAAAAACTGATCATTAGCTTTTATTTATCGGACGTTATATTAATTATTTATTAATTAGTTATATATATATACCTAGGAATGCAATCTCGAAATGCTTCATCTTTACTTAAAGCTTCATATACAATGCGTTCAGTATTCTCAGTTCCTCCACTTTTTCTTTTCCATACTGTACCAGGTCCAGCAGGTGCAAAACCGTCAGGATGTCCAGATAATTGAAACCAAGATTTCAATCTATTTTTTAGCAATACGTCGCTAGCTGGTGCAGTAAGATCCAAAGCATTCTAAAAGGTAAACAAAATCATGTTAATTAGTAAGAATTCATAAATCAATAGATCCATTCCTTTTTTACTTTCATCATCTACGTTAGATACTTACCAATGCAAGAAACTTCAAAGATAAATCCTCATCAGGCATAGTGGTATCAGAAAGAACAAGCGGAAATTGTTCCATCTTTTTGATAGTAGCCGCATCATTCGGCAATTTGACGATTGAATTGACGCTCCTTGGTCCAGCACTGTTGGACCGATTGGTACCAACGGAAGTACTTCTCCTCCATTGCCGAAAGGCACTGTAATTGCTATTACTGGAGGATGCATCCTTTTGCCGTCGTGTATCTTTGTGTGTAGAATCATGATTTATTCGGCTTTGCTCCTTGTTGGAAGACTGTAACAAGAAAAACCTACTAAGAATTTAATTCAGTCGAAATCATATGTTTCATCTTTTATAATACATATTTAACCTTTTTTGACATATCAAATGCTTGGAAATAATTTCCCTAATTTTGTTTATTTTTCTAAGAAATAAAAAAGGCCGGAAAATATTGTTAATTTTTTATAGCGTTATATGACTTTGAAGTCATATAATGTTATAAACTCATATATTTTCATTTTATAAACCTTTTTTTATTTTTTCTTCACAAAAGTATCACAATTGGTTTATATACCAAAAGTTAATATAAATTATACTTAGTATAGTATAATATTATACTAATATAAAACTTATATATTATTAATTTCATATTACTTAATTTTTGGTTAGTTACAAACAAAAATGAATAAATTTTGTTAATCTCTATAACATCATATAATTTTGAAGTTATATATTTATATACCTGGATTTTCTAAATATTTTTACTAATTTTTCTTAACGAAAGTATCAATTAATATATATAATATATATAATATAATTATACTAATATAAAAATTATATTATATACATTTTTCATTATATGTAATTTTTTGTTAGACGTAAACAAAAAGATCTTATTTAAACATAGAAGGTTAAGAAAATTATTATTAATATATAAACATACTTGAATCAAACTGGTTACTGAAAACTAACAGACAGCAAATGAACATTTCATCTCCCTTAATTTATTGAAATTATTAGGTGTATAAATAAGTTTGGTGCCTTTTAAACATGATTTTCTTGAAATGATATTTACAAAAACATGAAAAACATGCTAATTTTCAAAATAATCCCAATAATTCCACATATTTTCAATTTTCTTATCTTTCGGGCAGCTAACGAATCCCGTTACGGTAAATAGATGATAGTTTTGATTCAATGAAATCAATGATGCTTTTTCGATCACATTAAAAGATTTAGTCTCTATAAAGAAATCTATTAAGTGATGCTACAATGATCGGGATAGGTGATAATCCAATAGGACAAGATCTCAGCAATAATCTGCATAAGGGAGAATTTCCCAAACCAGAGAAATCAGGATTTCCAGGGTTCTTTCGTCATATGTAGCTGTGCGTTATTTGTCGTGTAGCAGAATCACTTGTCTGGTTCCACTGCCGGTAAAAGGTCTTTTGCGTCACTACAATTAATCACTTATTACTGATAACGCTCAGAAATAATCGTTTCACCGAGCTTGAACAATTCATAATAAACATCATATTTGAAAGCCCATAAAATTCTTCATCCTCCAATTTGTAGGACATTACACTGCGTTATGCATCAGTAATATCAAAATTCCAACTTCGAAACTTTTGAAACCACTATTTGCACGTTTTATGGATCACAACATCTTCACTTAAAACGAAATAAATCATTTCCGAAAATTCAATAAAATATTTCTTTAACTGAAAGGTAAAAAGAATATAGCGTCTAATGTGCTTCTTCTAAAAAATGGGACAAACTACTGTTTTTTGAAGTTATTTTCCGAGCAGAGTAAAGTTACATGGTGCATTTAAAAGGGCAACATTGATACTTTAAAATCCCAAATCGATAGGAAAATTCTGTTTATTTAAAACAGAATTATAATTGATTGAATCTGAAGTACCAAAGTTATTAGTATATCTAACACTAAAACTAGGATTACATATGATCACTATCTGTATCGATATTCGATGTAGATCTTATCGTATTGTAGAAAAAAAAGAGAGAAAGAGAAAATGTTATATCAAGAATTAATACTTCCAATAGAAATGAACAGTGAGTACAAACAACGTTTTTGCGTTATCTTCCTCCATCAAAAATTTATTGCATAACAGTAAGAATAACGTGTTAGCATGCAGGAGCGCGGAGACATTTTACAAAGATGTCAAAGTATATGTAACGAGAGAAATAACGCATAATATATCGTGAGTACATTTTCTAGGTAAAAGCGCGCGTGGCACGTTTTTAATGGTAATAAAGTAATCAATTCTCTCTCTCTCTCTCTCTCTCTCTCCTCTCTCTCTCTCTCTCTCTCTCTCTCTCTCTCTCTCTCTCTCTCTCTCTCTCTCTCTCTCTCTCTCTCTCTCTCTCTCTTTCACAATAACGTGACCTGTGTATAGTCTCTAATCATCTCGTTTACTGACACGCGTAGCGTTATAGAAAAAGAACACAATTTATAATTCCCAAGATCTATATGAGCCGGTAATTATAAGTGATTTAAGTAATATATTTTCAAAATGAAAAATATATTACTTAAAATTCATGTTGAGATTCTTGGATTATTTACAAAATATTTTTCTATTATGGCAAATAAGAAAGATAAGTACTATATTTATCCTTGAAAGATAATAATTTTATGTTATCTTAGCATTTTAAGAATTATATATTTTATCAACTTTTAAATTTATATTTTATATATCAACATTTTATAATTATATAATAATATAATAATAACTTTCAAAAAAAATATATATTATATATCATCCTTTTACAAAAGACATTTATATATATATATATATATATATATATATATATATATATATATATATAATTAAAAACTACTAAAAAATAAGTTATATAAATTTAAAAGTTGATAAACTATATAACAAAAAATATAATTTATTATATTTATATAATAAAACGTTTATATAAGTATATTAAAAGAAAAGAAAGGTTTGTATATTTTGCTTTATCTAATCGAATATTTTCGTTCAATGTTACGAAGTTGAAATCGTTGATGAAGACGACAAATGAAGATGACAAATACTCGTTCAATGATTGCGATGCCATCAATTTTTATAGCTTTGTTATTATTTTACAACGTAGATATCTTGTATACAGTACTTGTTTGTTCTCCATCTTATATGGCAAGGATAGACTATGTGGTAAAAGAGAGTATTGATATTCGTACATATATAGCATAAGTTATTATCGATGTTCGTTATAATGGTCACCACGTTTTCATAGTTAAAACCGCATTTTAAATGAAGAACAGACGGGACGGAGACCGGGTGTATCACGGAATTCAATGAATTGCGACGCGTCACTCATTCTAATTCTATTTTGCAAGGTAAAGAAACCTAGAGGGCACGAGAAAATTGAATTAGCAAATTACGTTTGACCAACAGATACAACGGTCTTCTCTTTCAATAGAATAACGTAAGATAAGTAGATAGCATCGAGGTCAAAAAGCGATTGCAAATTCTTCAGCTATTACTATGTACGTAAGGTATTTGCGAAATCGAATAACATTTCTTTCTCTCTCTCTCTCCCCTCCCCCTCTCTCAAAACTCTTTAAAAAGAAGAATAAACAAAACGATTTCTTCGATTCTTTCGTTTCCGTCCTTGCATATGTATGTGTATGCAATCGATAACGATCTCTTAGCTACAATCTCGTTTACGTCAACTGTCAGATAAATTCAAAGTTCGCGCCCTTATTTGAATAAACTCGTAACGTATATACGAAATCATTGCTTTTTTGTTCTCTCTCTTTCTTTCTTTCCTCTTTCCCTTTTGATGATCTTTTACGTCAAATTTCACAACAGAATTTCCATCGATGAAGCTTTATTGTAACAACACAACGATGACAACGACCTAAGCCTTGCACACGTATATCGATTTACGTGCCAAACGATCGAATAAAAAAGTTAAACGACAGCGATGCGTTATTATCAATGGTAAAAAACGTCAGAGAACTGAATACGTGTTTTCATACCGTCCAATGATACTTTACATTCTATCAGATTTGTTCGATGAATTTATCTTCGTCAATTTACTCCCATTTGAAACAATAACAATAACAATAACAATAATAATAACAACAACAACAACAACAACAACAACAACAACAACAACAACAACAACAACAACAACAACAACAACAACAACAACAACAACAACAACAACAACAACAACAACAACAACAACAACAACAACAACAACAACAACAACAACAACAACAACAACAACAACAACAACAACAACAACAACAACAACAACAACAACAACAACAACAACAACAACAATAATAATAATAATAATAATAATAATAATGGACGTAATCCTCAAATAATTATTACATAAACTTTAATCAAAATTTGTACTTACCAACGAAGTTATT